AATTGTTCGTGCAAATAATCAACCTTACAGGGATTTCTTACAAGGGTTTTAATGAAATATTAGTTAACATTATCTGCGTCAGAATTTTGAACACAGGATGTGGGTTCAGTTTCAGATATTTACGTATTTAAAATGGAATAGATGAACATGTTAACGCAGTGAAAAGGTTCATAAACCAATCATGAATTGTTTGCAAGAATTGCAAGTGCTGCTCAGAAGTGCTCACGTTGTGGAGAAAAGATGCCGTGACTGAACAGGTAGTTCTTTTCCACCGGCATCCGGTCTGAGCACAATTCAGTTCTTGCTGAAAAAAATATCTAAGACAAAAAAAAAAAAAAATAATAATAATAATAAAATGACAACTAAAATGTACTTTGTTGTCGAATACAAGTAACTAGAAGTAATCTTTTAGGTCTGGAATCCATTGTTAAGGTACGGCATGGCATTTTATCCGTATGCTATGTAACTCTCGATTTGTCTGTTCGCCCGTCAGGCGGTTTTGCACAACTAAATAAACTTTAACGACAAGTTCATCTACTGGGTAGTTATGTCCCGTTCATTACGTACGGTCTTTATCTGAAACTAAAAAATAAATTAGAAAGACGTGAACATTTAATAAGAATTCTTCTAAAATAGTTAGATTATTCGCTGTCGAATTCATGATCTAATTGATAAATAGAAGCTTCAGATCTACTTTAAAATGGTTCGAAGGGGTGGGGAGGGGGGTGGAAGTGGCGGGGAGGGTGGGGGTGGCGTGGAGCGGGGCAGATAGGCGGTAAACAATAAAACAGGTGTCTTCACTGAAAAGCAATTTATTAAACTTACAGCTTGCAGTTTAAAGACTTTGAAAAAAAAAATCAGGGGACTGCGAATTTCGGTGTGAGCTTCTATTTGTACTTCCTGATAAGCTATCTCTCCTAGACTACATTAGACCAAAGAAAGTCTCTCATTAATATTTTTATCCTGATTATTTAGGAAAGAACTCTCACGTCATGTTTCTACTGCTGACGTTGAGCGGTAAGTAAATCCATTTTACTTTCTCTTCATTTCTCGTTATTGCCTCTGATTTTCTATTGTAGATGGTATTCTTATCGTATTTTATCTTATTTTATCTCATCTTAATTCAACAGTGCTTTCTGTGGCGAAAGCTAATTTCTTTGCATCTAATAATTCCGAACCTGGTCTTGAAGACTGCCCAAAGTCGTGCGAATGCAAGAATCTAAAGACACCCCCATTTGGCATGAAGGTTTCGTGCAGTGGAGTAGAGCTAAAGAATGTTTCTGCATGGAAACTACCTGCTTCGACAACCATCTTGTATGTATATTTTCGGCGATAATTACATTGTCTTTAGATGTTTGAATTCTCTCAAAAGCGTTATTGTTGATAAATGATGATGATAACCATGATCATAATGATGAAAGTATTAGTATAACTGGTTATAACCATCGCTGAATTGAACATTTTATTCATATAAAGCTTATACATTTTAAAACAGTATCATAAATTTCATTACGTTAATATTTTTTCGTTTTATTGTTAATTATTTTGCTCGTAAATTTACAGAGACTTAAGCAACAACAGTCTAGGGAAGCCACCACCTGAGTTGTTCTTGAACACCAGGAATCTCAGAGAATTGTATCTATGGCGTTTTCATTACCACTAGCCAGGGAAGCAAGCGTTCCCGTACAAAGAGCTTTTTCCGCCTTCTGGCCGCGCGTAACGTAGAGTTAGAGCAGAAAAATCGACGAAGCACGGGGTGGTTGTGCGAGCGACCCACCTCCCCTTGCTTCGTCGATGTTTTTGCTCTCATTCGGCAATGCATGCCAGGCAGGCTGCATTATAAGATAACTGATTGTATAAGCCGCGCCGTAAGTAAAGAAAGGGTTGAGCCATAAAGAATTGACGCATTCAATCACGGTGAGAGTAGAAAGCCGATGCGTCGAGCGTTGGATCTCCGCCGGAGCAAAGCGACATCAGAAATTCGCTACTGCAGCTTGTTAATATTCCTTTGTTAACTTTAATATTCAATATAAATAGCACCTCAGTTATTTAGCTAGGTTGGATTCGCGCTGGAAACATGGAACGTTGGCTCAATTGATTACTGGGACTGGGAGCGGTTCGCGTCAATTGAAAAAAATATATATATATTCATTTCTAACCACTTATTAACCGAGAGTGAGGTCTTCACGGGAAAATATCAGACGTTTTCTTGTTAATTTTTTTGCGCTTAATTTACAGAGACTTGAGTTACAACATTCTGGAGAAACTGCCACCTGAGTTGTTCTTGAACACCAGGAATCTCACAGAATTGTATGTATGGCGATTTCATTATTACTAGCCTGCGCAGAACGCGTTCCCCTAGCTCCGAAGAGCTCTTTCCACATTCTGAGCGCTTCAAATTGAAGCAAAAGCAGAAGAATCGACGAAGCACCGGGGTGCTGGGGCGAGCGACCCACCATCCCCCTTAAGAGCTCAAGAGCCACCTTAAATTTTCAAAAATTTAAGGTGGCTCTGAACCCTATAAACAGATGCTCTTAAAACTTTGCCAAAAGTTGCGTCTTATCATGCTTATTAAAATTTGATAATATAAAAAAAGATTATCGTGCCGTTTTTAAATTATAAGCTCCTAAAACTGTAATTAAGGGTTTTTTTTGGCAGGTCATACTGTTCCTATTGTAACCTATTGTGTCACGAAAATGATAACAACGTGTTCACCAATGATTGGGCAGTGTTTTTTAATACCATGATTGTAGCATCAAGTGATAAAGAGTAGTTATAAACGACCCATCACAATCTAAGTGCTAGAAACTGTTTTGAGCCACCTTAAACGCTTATAAGAACCCCCGCGGCTATAAGCCCATCTACTTGTAAACCAGAAAATACCTCCGGTTATAAGCCTCCCTCCTCTAGCTTTCCTTTCCTTTATTATGATGTTTTAAAGCTTAATTACCAGTAAATGAAAAATCTATTTCCATCAACATATACAGCCATTGCTCGTTTCGCAACTGTTTTTATATTCCGGTTATAAGCCCATTTGGATATAAGCTCCTCCTTTTATAAGCCCTTACAAAGTTGTATAAGCCCAGAGCTTATAAGGGGCAGTTTACGGTAAACAGTTAAAACTTCTCGTAGT